AGTGACAGAAGAATAAGTACACAGTAGGGTCAAAACCACCATCTCAACCTTCTATTTCCAAAGCTAGCTACCACACACACGCACACATGCTGTGAGAGCAGTCATCGTTTGGGTAGTATTTATGATTTGTAAATAACTTCATTGTTACACATACTAGAAATATTAGCCATGTTTCCACATTCTCAAAAGAATTCACTAACTTTCCTTAATTTCTGATTATGATAGCTTTAAGAAATAGAATTTGGCAAAACAAATAAAAATTTGAATATAAGACTTGGGATGTGCCAAAATAAAACCTTTGAGAAACTGTGAAGATAAAGACTAAACGTAACCACAGATTTACTTCTGCTTTTACCCATGTATCCAGGGAAGTTGCTAATGGGAGGTATTGCCTCAGAAAACGCACATGTCTGTGAAACCTTGGAACGCACTAATGCTTTTCAAGTGATTTTATTTCAAGTCTAAGCCACAAGATATAAACTTTCATCAAAAATGGTAATCTATTTAAAATCAGAGCTGTGTGGAATGTTTCATGTTTATGTATAACTTTTATGGTAGACCCTCCCACACAGGGGAAATAATATGCCCAAATTCTGTTATTTTTACAGTACATAATATATCACAGACTAATCCCACTCATCAGCTTCATGGGCTTTAAATAGATGAAAAATGAAAAAGAAATGGAAGACAAAAATGAAGAACATTTGACAAAGTGATTTTTAAATTCTGTTTTGAAGCTAGAGATCTGAAAAATTATGTTGCATGTTCTAATATGAAAAGAGAGGTGTTTGAGGAAGCATGCTTATGCATTCTGGGTACTTCACCTTTCCACTTAACTTTCCACAGTTTCAAAGCTGCAGAGAAGAGAGAGGATTGTGGGGCAAGAGTGAAGGAAAAGCACTGCTTTGATCAAAATTGTTCAGCCATACACACCAATCTGACATCAATTTTAAAAGTATCCAAATCAAAAGCCATTTACATTTCAATTGTTTTTCAATGGAATTTACCACAAATTATTCCTGTTTATAGGGCATGATAGATCAATAGGAACGTACCATCATTGAAATAGCTTGCTCATGCAAAAAAAAAAAAAGATGAAACGTGACATAGCACTTTTTCTTCTCCAAATGAAAAGTTATCATCAATTCAAATACTCATTATCACAGCTTCATTATTTAGGAGGCAGGATACAGAGATAAAAACAGCTTAGGACATAACCATGTCACTTCAACTGAAATTCTTAAATGACACTCTTAATAAATAGGCCAGAGAAACTGAATTGTCAGCACTTTTTTGGTTTTTCGAGACAGGGTTTCTCTGTATTGTTTTGGAGACTGTCGGTCCAGCCCAGCCTCGAACTCACAGAGATCAGCCTGCCTCTGCCTCCCAAGTGCTGGGATTAAAGGCGTGCGCCACCACCGCCCGGCAATTGTCAGCACTTTTATTTGCTCAGAATTTTGGAAATAAATTCATGTAAAAATTCATGATTATTTCAACAAGAATTATAAAATGATATTAAAAACATATTATAACTCATAAATATAAAAACCACCATAATAAAGGTGGTTGTGTGCCTTCTACTATGTGGTAAACATACATATATGTTTCCTTTAGGCTTAAGACCATGTAGAACCGAAGAGAAGCATTCATGAAAATAATGCTTTCCATAGAGTTAAAGCCTCCATAATCACATGAACAAAATAACTTGTTGAAATAAACTTGTGGTAAACTACCAAAATTTATCATTGCTGGTCAACTTGTCAAATTCATAAATGATTCACAAAATAATCAGAAGTTAAAAGGAACTAACAGATTTTGCCGGGTCCTGAAAAATGGCATAAAGAACTTCAGACAAAATGTAGGTGTCTGAAACTGAAATTCTTGAAAACATCTAGCGCTGTCTAAATGAAGTACTCATAGCAGAATTATTTGGTAACATAACAAGTGTATCTTAATGATCTACTCAGAAATTACTGAAATGAGAGTATTAGTCATAAACATTGTTCTGACAACACTAACTGATCATAGGGATTTAATGTTTTAAACTGTCGTGTATATGGGGTATCCCAAGACAACCTACTAAACCAGACAATTATTAGTTACTCATTAATATCTATAAAGGCACTACAAAATGTTCTATTATGTTTAATACAGTTTGGGAGTCTTTTTTCCCCAAACTTATTTCATGAGAACTTTGAATAATCCCAAGTTTTCTTCATATTTCTTGTATCAATTAAGTATATCATGGAAAGATAGTTTGATATATCCTAAAATTTCCTGATATGTAGTAATTAAGTCATTATGAAATCATAATTTTCAAGATCATAACTCTTGGTCAGCCTAATCAGGTTAGAGTGGAATATTTCTTTGCTTTGTTGGGAAGATGCTTTCAGCAAAGAATGGGTAATGATAGCTTCTATTGTCAACACCCTCATAGCACTGTTGAACATGACAGATCAGCAGCTTATTGAGTTTAAAATGATCAGGGGTATTACCTCCCCAAAAGAAGGATTAAGATGACCTATAAAAGTTTCAAAACTGATTTCTAGATTTCTTGTTAAATACATTCAAATTTACATGTTTGACACTCTTTCAAACATCTACCTTAGAAACATTCCTTCTGCACACTGAAAGAACTCCAATTTTCAGCTCCCCATGATGTTACTTACTGATAAAATGCACACATGATTTCCTATATATATATATGTTCACATATGTAATATATGTGTGATACATTTATGTACAAAAGATAATAGCTGCACAAGGCATGATAAATATGTAAATACTGTTCCAAGTTAAAACATTGTCTAGAAATTTGTCTATCCTCCTCTCCAAAGAAGGCATCCCGAAATCATCCCATTCCTCTAGACAATGCTAACCAATACACATGTGATTGGCTTACATTATAGGGGTGAGGTATTCCAGCAGTGGCTGTCTGTACACTTTGAGACTCTGAGAACTCAGATGCAGCAATCCTAGTCTAGTGCTGATGGTCTGGTGAGCTAGCTAGTGCATTCTCTGAGAGCTGCTGGTCTTTAGTTCACATTGGAAGGTCAAAGAATCTGGATTCTGATGACAACCACAGTGGCAGCAACAACAAGACATATACACTTAACTGCAAAGAGTCAAAGCATGTAGGCAATAGCAGTGTTTTTCCCCTGGACCTCTTAACTTCTGGGCTACTTACCAGCCAAAGGTCTTGCCCATTTTGCAAAGGGTCTCTCCTGATCCACAGTTAATCCTTCCTGGAAATATTCTTAATGACTAGGCCAGATATGTGTTTCTTAGTTGATTTCAGATCCAATCACATTGAAAATGAAGATAAATGATCACAACATCCAACTACATTGGACTCTATTTATAGAATCTTTGGTGATAAATCGTTCTTTTTCATGAAGTCACAGTCTCTCTGTTTTAGAACTTAAAACTCAAGTTTCTGCTTTACCTTATAGATCACATTTAACAGATCGTGATGGGATCAGAATGAGGTAAATGAGGAGAAAATGGTAAACAGCCTAATCAGTACCCCCAAATAATGACTGTCCTGCTGGGAAGACCCTGTGGGACCCCTGCTGTGGTGAAGACCATCCCTGGCTCCTCTGCCTAGGAGAACATGGCATGTTGTTATTCTGTAGAGTCTGTGTCTGCTTTCTAACTGTGCTTCCCTGTGTATTATGCCCATCCTTCAATCCAGACTCCATTTGGACAGTGGAGAGAATGATCTCAAATTCTGTTCTCCTCATAACAGTTTTATGGAACAAGCATGGGGTTCCAAGATTGTATAGAGTTACAGGATTTTAGGCCCAGCTTCTGGTTTCTAGGGTAATACAATTACCTCAAAGTCTTCACAGACATTGATCTAATTTCTTCAGTCTGTTAAACATACCAGTAACCAGAGCCAAAAACAGGAACCCTTTTTCATTTTTTACTTATAGTGCTAAGACCTGTCTTACTGCTTTCATTCAATTTTTCCTCTCTTTCCTTTCTTCCCTCCCACCCTCTCTCATGTAAAATATGAAGCAATCTTACTAATGAGATCCTCTAATACACCAAACATTAAATCATAAGTTCCCCTCTCTTCCTTAGTGATAGAATTTGTCCATGATGCTTCTTCTGGAGAAAGAACTATCATTCTTTTTGCTCAAAGTGTACCATGTGACTTTTATGCATTTAATAGCACTTGAACAATAAAGAAGGAGGTGAAAATAACACAACACATATTTTGAGAGTCATGAGCTGGCATCATAAACATCACATCATATTTCAGCATGAAATATTTTTCCCAGTTAACTGCAATCTAAGATGCTGAAACACAAAGTTGAAAACCATTTATTTTATTATGCTTATAGACTAGTAACCAAAGCAAAATCTTTTTCTCAATAAAGTCTAAGCTCAGCTTGTCTATTCTGGCTGTGCTCCAGAACAGCCTGAAAGTTTGAAGGCAGAGGTTACTCCATGTCTGGGTGAACCAGTCCTCAGGATATTTCAAATTCATGGGATTAGTTGGTTACTAGACCTTCATGACTCTGCCAACCATAAAATGCAAAGCCTCTCCCTATGGACACATTGTATGGACTGACTTGTGCTTCCTCATAGCATTGAGAATCTTGGCCAAGCTATGGGTTCCAAGAGGGATATGGGTATCACCTTTATGTTCTAGCATTTAATGCCATGTGGTGGAACTTGCATTATATAATTTAGTTAAAGTAGGTGTATAGGTCTGGTAAGGTCTGAAATTGGAATACCCATCTCATAAGAGGAAATTCAAGGCTTAGAAAAACACGTAACTGTTTTTCTAGCCAGTCATCGTGAAATCCAAATTTTATTCAAATTACTTAACATCTAATGCATTGTTCATTATATATGTTATTATCCTTATTTAATTAAATTTTAATATGTTCATTTCATTTCCATATCTACTAAATTGTACTCATTAAAATGATTTTCAACTTTGTAAAGAAAAAACAATGTAATGGCATCAAATGTCATTGTGTTTGCAGATTTCCCGGCACAGAAGGAACCATTCACAGCATGTCTTGAAAGATGTCATTCCACCGCTAGAACATCCAGTAAGTGACTAATTTTAATCAAGTATTGCATTCTTTGATTTACTACTGCAAAAAATTGCCCTGAACTCAGTGTCTTGAAAATCCACACATAATTATCATACATTGTATGAGTCCGCAATTTAGGTTTGTTATATTAGTGCCTAGATCAGTGATAGTCAAAGGTTAGAATCAACCTGTCACTGAGAACAGGATCATATCAGGAAGTTTGATTGAGGGAGAGTCAAGCTCACTGACTAGGTTATTGATGGGATTCACTTCTGTAAGAAATATCAGATATGAGTCTTTTGTATCAAATTCATGTTCAGGACAAGAAATTCAATCGTATGTATCCCTCCTCCACCCAGCGAAATCTTTGTTTACACAAACACCAGTTAATATATTCCAGGAATTTAATGGCCCAGAGCAAGACCCTTTTTTCCTTCTTCCTTCATTTTCTGTGTGCCAACTCTTTTAAGAATTACAGGTTGAATAAGAAATCATTGATTGGATATGACAATAAAACCTTCTTTTTTATAAAAACTCACTCATTCATAAAGGATCCACACTCATGAGCTAATTACTTCCCATCTCTTCATGTAGAAATGACGGAGGTTAAAATGTCACCTTTGTGTCCATCAGCCTACAGTGTCACTCCTTAACTCAAAACATGCAATGGATTTTATTCTCTTGAGGGTAGAAGTTAGAAAGCAACCAGAAGTTCCCAAGTCTTAAAGGTCCAACTACCTCACCAATAGCTGCTCCTTCTGCTAGCTTATTCTGTTACTACCACACTGGTTCTTCTGAAGTAGTATTCAGCTTCTTCATTAATCTTTCTTGTAAACTATAATTTTTTGTGGCCAGTATATTTAAATGTTACTGATTCAATTACCTGCTATTATTATCATTACTATTATACTATTATTATGCAATTATATCTTAAAAATAAGTCTTAGGGTGGTAGATGTCTCATTGGGTAATGACAATTGCTGACAACAATTTGAACCTTAGTTCAATATCTGTGCTGCATACATTGAAAAGAGAAATGACTTCAGCAATGTGTCTTCTGGACTTTACCCATGAACCATGGCTTATGTATGCATATACACACATGAGAGAGAGAGAATAAATGTAAATTTTAAAAGAGGTCTTGTTTAGTCTCTTTTATTTTCTTTATTTCACCGTTATTCAATATTCTCTTCAGACCTCACTAAATTTTATTTCTTTGTCATCCATTGGAAATGCAGTCATCTAGGGTAGAGGAATTACTTCCCATGTTCACTATTCTATTCCTGTGATTCTCATAATTGCAAAAGAATGGAAGGGTTCTGTAAGTATCTTTTGAGTATATGGCATAGTGAAAAGCTAAAAACTATGGTTCTAAGAAGATCTATGTTCCACCATTTTCTTAAATCTTCAATATTAATTAGTCATTTGTTCTCAGACTTCCTTCTCATTAAAAGTGAGAAGTAAAACATATCAAATTCACCCATCATAAGTACCTTCCCAAACTGCTGCCCTCATCACCAGACCAGCTCCAGTTGCAACACATGCCTTTTTTTGGCATCTATGTTACATACCACCATTCGTATGCAACTGTGTGTGTGTGTGTGTGTGTGTGTGTGTGTGCGTGCGTGTGCGTGTGTGTGTGCGTGGGTGTGGGTGTGCACACACATTACTGTAGTCACATGTGTGAGTGTATGTGTACATATATGGTTGTGCAATATCACCAAGTGAGACGTCTCTTCAGCCCTAATGTCGCCAGCAATTCTATGAAGTATCCTCTCCTCAGCTGTCACGTGACTACTCACTCTTCTTTGTTACCACACATACTATCATCTTGACCTTCAAATGCTTTGGATCCCAATTCCAACACTCCTTTATGTCTTTCACACAGGTCATGGGCAGTAACTCCAGAACAACCTATTTTAAGGCAGTGCCTTCAATATCTCGTTTTCTTCATCCAAACAAACTGGCGTCCTTTTACCTACAGTATCAACTTCAAAGAACTCTCTCATGGCCCCTGATTTATACTATATATTATTACTCCAAAATACACACCCTCAAGCCAGCAATAGAAGTATGGTTGTGACATGGCTTTTTGCCTGAAGGAGCCTGAATTTTCTAATTATGGTGCTTTCATCATATCACATGTTCTAACACCGTTACGCTGTCCACTCTTATTTCATGGGTAATAGACTTGTGCCATGGCTGGACTGTAAATGGCTTGAAGTGAGAGGCCATGACTTGTGCTCTCTTCTTTACATTATGCTTCCACTTATATTACTTTTGGCATTACTGTTTGCCCTGGAAAGACGAGTTTGCCAACTGATATAACAGGATATTAAGGGATTATGAAAGTTATGGTTGAAAGTATCAACAAATATATACTCAATATTCAAAGGAAGCTCAACCTTTTCAATGTTGTAACTTGCATTTATATTTTGTTTTCAAATTATTCAGTTCTTACCTTTACATTTTCTTTGGGAACTATTTCCATGATTTCTCAAATTTGAATTAGTTTGCCCTCGTATAATCTGCTTTGCAAGAGCAACTTGGACTTGTCTTTTTTGCAGATGCACAGCACTAAAATTGCCTACTTTCTTTTCCATCTCCCTTATTGAATTATAACTTACATGAATAGAGGGTTGTATATGATTTACTATTTAACTATTATGACTTATTATAGAATTTGGCACATTGAACCTCACAATGAATAAGAAAATAAATATATGCAAATAATTATTTATGTATACATATAAATACATGTATATATAATACATATACATGTACATTTATGTACACATATAAATACACAAATGTATGTGAAATTATATTTGAGTATACTAACTCTTCCATTGAAATGCCCAAAATTTTTACATGCAACATATCTGTGAATTATGAAACTTAAAATTCAAATTATGATTATTTTCAAATTTAATCAATCACTATGAACCAGTTTCATATCAATACCTCCATATAAAGCATAATCAAAGCTTAGGTAAATCATAAGGGCATTCAGAAATAGTTTTCCATCCTTCTATTACATATTTTGTTAACTAACATGTGGTTAGTTGTGTTATCTCTGCAATTTCCTTTCCAAAAGAAAGAAAATATGCTACCTCGGAAGGTGACATTGAAGAGAAATACTAAATCTAAGCAAAACCAATACTTTTTAAAGTAAAATTTTAGTTTGTAATCACTCTAAAGCTAAACTCCCCCAACTCTGCAATTTCCACATGCACGCAGCTACACATACTCACTACTTGCACAAACTTCTTAAATTATCAATTAAATTGCTTTCTGGTACTGATGTGGGCTTCCCTGAGTCCTGTCTCTGAGTATACACTTCACTTCATCGGTCTTCTGAGCACAGGGAACATTCAACTTTTCTTCTATAGCTTCTATTGAATTGAATTTTACTTTTATGTTAATGGCAGAAATAGCATCAGCTATGTAAACTGCATCTGGTGAATTGACTGTTATGAATAGTAATGATTAAAGAACTACCAAGTTTTTCAAAAAGAGAATCTGTAAATTTTAAACATGAATATGTTCTTCTATAGTTAGTACCCACAAAGTTTTGCTTTAAATCTTACTAACTTGAACTTACATTCTCTCCATCTCCCTGCAGAATCTTTCCCCACAAGTGTCATATGCTTTTGTCTCTCCCTGTCTCCCTCTTGCCTCCATGTCTCAGTATGGCAGCCAAGTCATCCACAGCTATCTGTTGTCAGTAGCTATTAGGAAAAGGTGTCATATATGAAACAACATACCAAAATAATTTGGAGTAATTATTTAAATCCCTTGAGTTGATATTATTTATGTTTGTTTCAATCATATAGATTCTTATGTGTATTTATTTTTGAAAACCCTGGCAATAAAGTAACTCTCATTTCTTTTATCTCATATTGAAAGAATTTCCCTAAATATTTTTAAAAATCATGAGACTACAATTTTGGTTACAACTTTTCAAATTATCCATTAGGTCTACCCCATTTGGGAATAAAATGTTTTACTTTAGAAAATGAAAACTGCCCTTCAGATGCTCCAATGAGTGGGTTTTCTTTCTGGGAACCATGAATTATTTTTTTACAGTTCCCTTTAATAAAGCTAATTGTGATCAACATGAATAATTAAAAGAACAGCACATTTGTTTTTACTGTTACCTTTGAAACACTGCTAATTGGAGTCTACAAATGCTCACAGTGGTCCCAGTTCAGGAAGAAGTGTAGCATTAATGCCACATAGATGCATACCACAGGGCTTCAGTGGAAGAGGCTGCAATCACAGCAGAGAAGTGTGTGATTGCTTAACACAGCAACAAAGCAGCAGCTTTAGACATGAAACACCAAGATGTAAAACTCGAATACACTCATGTGCATCCGTTTCTTGACATTCTATTAGTATATTCTACATTACAACTATTCATGAGACCAAATTAGTTTCAAGGCACTTTTTCTTTCCCCCTAAAGATTCAAGAAAAGTAACCCTGATTGCAGCATGTTAAATCTCTATCTTCTTTATTCTTATTGAAACATTGTAAGGCATGTCTGGATAACCCTGCTGGAGTCAAAAGCCTGTGGTGGGCTTTAGAGAATCATATACTTCCTCCTGAGCAAGGAGGATTTTGAGGGCAGCACTCAGAAAGTTGTCCTGGTTCAGGGCAAAGCAGGCTTTTGTTGATAAACCTAAGTCACAGATTCTACCTTTTAAAGCATGATATTATTTTGTGGATTAATTAATTCTTGTGGGGGCTTTGGGGATGAAAGGCATTATAAAGATATTGTACTTTCTTATTGTAAACAAAGAAAGCATAGTCATTTGTGGGAATAATTCTATTGACCAGGCTGGGGTTTCTCTACGTTGAAAACAAAAAACCTCTTCAATCATTCAGAATGTTGTTTTGCTAAGTAAGAGTTACATTTGCAAAATAATATCCACTCAATATTCAAGGTAATAATACTAAATTATATAGTAGAATCATTTTATTCAAAACATTTTAAATTAAATATTTCTTTCAT